TTTTTTCTTCCACCTTCAACTACCACCAATGACACTTTTTATAAATTTCTGATCAAACAAGACTTTGTTCCATGATCTCAAAACCACCAAATTTATTTCCTTTTTTTGCTTCCACTAATTTCATCTTTTTATTCCCTCTTTCCTCTAATTTACAATCCATCTTTCCTAGATCCCTTTGAAATTCAGGTAACATTGGGCTGTAAGCTGGATGGTGGCGGAGCCATTATAGGCTTCCATCAATTTGCTTATCAAGGATCAGAACTCTTGCACTTCCAAAACAATTCATGGCTACCATCTCCAAAGGGTGGAACAAGAGCTCAGGATGTGTGCAGACTATTAAATCAGAATCATGCCAGCAAGGAAACAATACAGAGGATGCTCAGTGACACCTGCCCACGTCTCCTCTCGAGTATTCTTGATGCAGGGAAGGCCGATCTCCAGAGACAAGGTCAGTCCCATATCCTTCCTCCAAGAATTTTCTAAAATTATACCTTCCCACCTTCCCTTTAAATTGAGGATAAGGGCTCAAAAGGGAGAAGAATACGTGATGAATAATTCCCAGCATGTGACAGATGTGTTTGTCTAAGATGATGTGAAGATATGAACCTCCAAGTCTGTGTTAGAGTCCTTATCTGAATATCTCTCCTGTTCTCTGCATTAAAACCAGAGGCCTGGCTGTCCACTGGCACCAATCCTGGTTCTGGCCATCAGATGCTGGTTTGCCATGTCTCTGGCTTCCATCCAAAGCCAATTTGGGTAAAGTGGATGCGAGGTGAACAGGTACAACAGGGCACTCAACAAAGTGATATCTTGCCCAATGCTGATGGGACATGGTACCTTCAGGTTTCATTGGATGTGAAAACCACTGAGACATCTGGCCTGTATTGCCAGGTACTACATAGCAGCCTAGGAGGCCAGGACATCCTCCTCTACTTGGGTAAGAAAAACTGGGGCCTGCACTGGGAATGGGAGCAGATAACGGTCTACAAGCAGAGCAGGAGAGCCAAGTAAAAAAATTAGGATTTATGGCCTCCAGACTCAAAAGAATGAAAACAGTTCAATATATAGCAGAATTGAAAATGAGAAACCTGCAGAAGTAGGAAGATGTTGAGGGTTAGATGATAGATTCAACTCTGAAGAGGGAAGAGAGAGGAAACAAGAACAAAGATTAGTGAGGCGAACATGCAAATAAAAAAGGCAGACCAGGGAAATGCAGTAAACAGGGTGTGGGTTTGAAATGACACCTGTGTGCACCTAAACCCACAGAACATCATCAAGGCTCCGTGGGCTTGATCATCTTGGCAGTGATGGTGCCCCTGGTGCTTCTGACAGCTCTTGCATTTTGGCTTAGGAAGCGCTGGTGAGTATTTTGTGCCCATATTTCCGGTTCTGTCATCCACTCCCTACTTGTTTTCCGACCTTTCTTCTCTCTCCTCTTAGTCCTTCTTTCCTCAGTCTCTTTCCTTTAACTCTTCAATTCTCACCTCCACCTCATGCAGAGTAACTTTCATCTCTGTTCTTATTAGGTCACACTGTGAGCCTCCTCCCACTCTTCTTCCTTTGGAATGAGATTCCAGCAGCCCAAGGACTCAGGACATATTTGAATGCACATGGTGATAATATGCTTTCAACTCTCCTGGTACAGCTGTTATTGTTTATTTATGTTTGTTTAATGATCCATTATTAAGATAAGGTAAAGGTAATTTTGTAGGACTTGCTTTCTGACCTGGCTCAGAGATAAAAAGTCTTATTTTAACTCTGGATAAAATGAGATCCTAGCAACCACTACATATGGAAAAATTGATGAATCTCAGGCCCATTTCAGATGTCACCTCTTTATGGGGCCTTCCCTGATTCACAAGTGGAAGCAGCGCCTGAACTACCACCACGCTTCTCAGTGGACTTTGCTGAATCTACTTCTCACTTTTTATCCGTTGTTGCAGTCAT